AATCTTATGAGGTACAATTGTCCATCATCCTGAAAACTCAAACTATGGTCCTAAAAACCATATCTCTTCCACCATTTTCATAGCCAATCAAAGTATTCTTCTTTCGTTTTCTGTTTCTTTTCTATGGACTGGAAGGATGCATAAAAATAGTCTTTTAATTTTTTTCATGTTCTGTCTTGTACTTGTTTTAATATTTTCTTCAAAGTGTTTAATAAAAAAATTTAAAATAAAATAGAAAAAAGTCACCAACTAACACAACTCTTCTCTTTGTCTTCTTGCACGATACAATTGCATCCCCTTGTTTCTTTACTGTAAGATCTCTCTGTTCCTCTGAAGTCTCAAAGCCTATTTTTTTAGGGGGAGGGGGCTTAAAGCTGTTTCTCATTGCAGAATATTTATTTATTTACCACATTTATATGCTGAACCCATATCAAACTTTACAGGTAATCACCAAAGCTTGAATTGGGACCAAGGGCCCATTGGCAACCACTGCTTCTTCTGCAACACAGGTGTTACAGGTAGTCCTCACTTACTGACAATTGGGAAATGGCAACTCTGTCACTATGCAATGCAGTCGTAAAGTGAAACATCATGTGACCGTGCCCAACTTAGGCAGTTCATCAGTTCCGGCTGCGGTTGTTAAGCAAATTACTGCAGGTTGTTAAGCGTGATGTCATGTGACCTTTCAACTTCCTGCCACTTCCCCATTGACTTTGCTTGTCAGAAGCCAGCTGTGAAGTTCCCAAATGGTGATCACATGACCGTGGGATGCTGTGAGTCATCTTCAAGAGCAGCTCCACACAAAACAAAATGCATCAGTCTAACTAATGGATGACATAAGCATGAGTCACTGTCTTCAGTGACAGTGAATTTGTTCCATATCTATTGCTTCTGGCTGTCAATCTGATCTACTAGGCTTACTCCTTCGTTTATTTTCTTTCTGGAGAATTGCTTCCTATCAATTCTTGTTGTAGTGTCTTCTACAACAAGACAAGATTTGGAAAAAAAATTACCTTCTCTCATCAGTTGAGATGTACCCAGTCACTGCTCTAATCCTCTGACTTTCTTCAAGAGCAGTTATAAGACTGTATTTGCTGCAACCACATACCAGATCACTCTCAGAAACTCGAACACGCCATAAGCTTGCAAGTCATAACTGTAGGGTCCTGTTCACTCATACAGTGGGGCAAAAAAGTATTTAGTCAGCCACCAATTGTGCAAGTTCTCCCACTTAAAAAGATGAGAGAGGCCTGTAATTTTCATCATAGGTATACCTCAACTATGAGAGACAAAATGGGGGAAAAAATCCAGAAAATCACATTGTCTGATTTTTAAAGAATTTATTTGCAAATCATGGTGGAAAATAAGTATTTGGTCACCTACAAATGAACTTTTGATATTGACCAAATACTTATTTTCCACCATGATTTGCAAATAAATTCTTTAAAAATCAGACAATGTGATTTTCTGGATTTTTTCCCCCATTTTGTCTCTCATAGTTGAGGTATACCTATGATGAAAATTACAGGCCTCTCTCATCTTTTTAAGTGGGATGAACTTTTGATATTGACCAAATACTTATTTTCCACCATGATTTGCAAATAAATTCTTTAAAAATCAGACAATGTGATTTTCTGGATTTTTTCCCCCATTTTGTCTCTCATAGTTGAGGTATACCTATGATGAAAATTACAGGCCTCTCTCATCTTTTTAAGTGGGATGAACTTTTGATATTGACCAAATACTTATTTTCCACCATGATTTGCAAATAAATTCTTTAAAAATCAGACAATGTGATTTTCTGGATTTTTTCCCCCATTTTGTCTCTCATAGTTGAGGTATACCTATGATGAAAATTACAGGCCTCTCTCATCTTTTTAAGTGGGATGAACTTTTGATATTGACCAAATACTTATTTTCCACCATGATTTGCAAATAAATTCTTTAAAAATCAGACAATGTGATTTTCTGGATTTTTTCCCCCATTTTGTCTCTCATAGTTGAGGTATACCTATGATGAAAATTACAGGCCTCTCTCATCTTTTTAAGTGGGTTTCTGGATTTTTTTCCCCATTTTGTCTCTCATAGTTGAGGTATACCTATGATGAAAATTACAGGCCTCTCTCATCTTTTTAAGTGGGAGAACTTGCACAATTGGTGGCTGACTAAATACTTTTTTGCCCCACTGTAACTGTTTTTTTAAGGAACTACCACTAAAGATTTTTTATTTCTTATTGTTCCCATCTCAGACTCTCAGGTAGCCAGATACATACTACTCACTTAGAAAGAAATTTCATTAGGAACTTGCCCACTGAACTTCACTAAGAAACTCCTGTTTGTTTTCCATTTGTTTGCGTCTTCCTGGGCCAAAATTCATGTGGTCCATGCCAAGTCTTCCTGAATGTAACAATAACCTTAAGAAAGTTAAAATGATTAATGATATGAGCTGTGGGAGGCAAAAGGTTGGAAATAGAAACGACTAAGGTGAGGGTGCAGGCAAAAATAATTTCTCACCTGCTAGCAGAAAGCAGAACCAGTGCTTTTTGTTTCCAAAAAGTAAATTCACACAGAAATGAATGTTCTGCTGTTTTAGAACAATTGGAAATCAGTGGCAAACCACTGATACAAGTTTAAGACAAATTAGGGCAATTTCAGTATGCTAAGAAAATAAATGCAAAACTGATCAAATCTTACTTTTTAGCTAGCACTATTTCTTTAATTCAATATAGCTATCTTGTCCCTTGTCTTTTGGCATTTCATTGAACTAAATGAACTAAAGTTTGTTTGTTTAGATTTAGAAGGCTGCTCAACTCCCAATGACTCTGTGCAGCTTGCATAATTAATATATAATTTGCTTTAATGTCCTTTTTTATGTTCTAATATTCTCACAGATACAAGTGTGCAAACTAGTATGTATCTAGTACTGTGAACTAAAATAAATTTTATTTAAAATTATATTGAAATTATGTTTTTGCTCTAGTAAAGTAAGAAATGGGATATAAATTCAGTTTCTTTTTGCTTGCCTAAATGCTAAGAACCAGACAAAGCAAGTTCAAATTTTCAGCTAGAAAATTCAAGAGAGAGGACAACAATTTGTTATATAAATACTGATAACTAAGTTAAAATTTTAATGATCTTTCAAAATGCAAAAGAAAGGAAGCGAAGTAAACATCCAGCAGTTGTCAAATGAGCTGCCATTTACTTCCTTTTTCCCATTTATTACTAGAAAAATGTACACAATTAGGGCTAAAATAAAAATGAAGTTGTTTGACAAAACAATTTTTTTGTAAACTCTGAATTCCTCATTTTGTAAAGGTCTCCACAGGTTATGGCATTGTAAACAGATACTTTATCTACTGTTCATAAACAGCCCATTAATGCCGTAGTAACAGAAATGCAGAAATCGGTACTTAAAATAATATAGGTACTGCAGTTGTTTCCCCCCACAAGCAGCTCATGCTACTGAAGTCATTAAATATGCTGCAAAATATTTTCCAGTTTTCTAATTCTGCTTGTTTCATTGCCCGACAATTCATCTTTGTTCTTCTTGTTATTTTCCTTCAGTGCTAGCTACACAGAACAGACTGGACACCTTTCTTCTAGTCCCCCACGCCTATCACTAATTACTATTTATTACACTTGCATATTGATTTTCTTTTAAGCCTTACAGGAAAGACAACATACAAATGTGATGAATTATATTTCTTAGTGTTAATACTTAACACAAAGTAAGTTTCTGAGCAAAGTACATCTTTTCTCTACTGGGAAAACGAGGTGAAAAATTAATTCTGGAACCTGAAATGCTCAATAATATCTGGTCCATCTTTAGGTTTGAAGGAACGGATACTGGGGGAAAATATGCTGTAAACTACATCTATCTCCTTAATTTTTGTCAAAATGATCATGCAGACATCTTGTACTTGTTTTCAACAGCTACTTGTTCGTCCAATTATGTAATTTCAGGTTGGATGTAATATTTTTACATATAGGCATGCAAAATAAACTCTCAAAAATGGTTTTACTATGCTGCCTGGAAGCGCTGCAATTTTGAGATGCTTAAGCCCTTGCCTGAGCATCAGCCAACTGTCCTTCCTGTTGCTGGCACCGGTCGGCAACTTAAAGACCAGCTACCAGAAAGATTTCTGCTTTCAAGGTGACTGCACAGTGCTTGATGCAGCGGGCAAGCTGGTTAGGGGTTCAAAACAGCTTCTCACCCTGTGGAGACAAAGGAGAATTTGGACCCTTCTATTCCAGGAGTTGTTGTCACTAACCTAAGATTATAAATTCCCCCTGGGAAGCTCAGAAGAATAAATATGCGCACTAGAATTAAGTATTTTCTCCCACTTAGCAACTATTCTTGAAAATAATCATACAACACATACTATTTTTATTTTTTTCACTCTGTGGGATTTAACATGGAACTGGGACAAAATGGAGGGAAGGAGAAGGCCCACTGTTAATCTTGTGTACGTTTTTTCTTGTTAATATGCTTCTAACATAACATCTAATTCAGTTCTTAGTGTCTGTTTAAGGCAGAGAGGAGAGAAAGTGCTTCATATTCTCAAAACCTAAAATGAGGAATATCATATTGCTGGCCATTCTGTCTGATATTCTCAGCAAAGAAAAGCAACTCAAGGCTGGATGCCTTCTCATTCCAGCTCTTAAGGTTTGGAATCAAAGTAACAGCAATTCAGAAGGTGTGCTTTTGTAGTAAGCCCACACAGAGTTTTAGAAAAGCATAATATTTTCTTTAGGGTTAAAACTTAGCTTGCTAAGACATTTGATGAACCTCCAGAAGTTATTCTCTAATAACTATAACAGTGCCTGGCTAATTGGAAATGCCACTTTACTCTTCCTCATGCCTCAAATACTCTTCACAATTATCTGAAACTTGCTATTATTTACACACACATATACACACACACACATAATTTGTGACTTTGTGGTCAAAGTAATGTACCAAGCTTTTTGGTACAAAGTAATGTACCAAGCCTTATTACCTTGCCCTTGTCAAAATAATGGATAATTTCCTGATAGAGCTGATCTTTGAGTTGTCCTTGTGTTGTTGCCTGGTATCCATCCCGTTGAGTAAGATGTGCTGCACATGGTTCTTCAGACCACTATATTAAATGAAAATAATGAAGAAATAAAAAATAAAAAATTAATTAATGTATGTATAGCTTTATCTTGCTTTAAACAAAACCATGGAATGAGTTTGTGGGGGATTTTTTCAGAATGTAGAATACGACATCAATGCTGAAAGTTCAGAGTTCACATACTGGAGCAGGTCAGGAGCTAAATGAAAAGGTGTTTCAAATAAAAATGCCTCACATAACCATTTATAGAATCACTTCTGTTGTGAGTGACCCTGCAGCACCAATCAATTTTGAGTAAACAGAATAATAGGGCAAGAAAGGAAAAGAATCAGATACCCTTTGGAACTGTTGAGAAAAATTAGTAAGTAGTAATCCTTCTTCAGGTTTTAAAAATATCAGCTCCTAGAGGGAGCCAACCAACCAACCAACTTGCAACCATTTGGCTAGGGATTCTGAAAGTTGTGGCCTAAACATGTGGCACCATATTAGAACAGGTTGAATTATAATTGTACTGTCAACCCTTCCTATCAAGGAGGTAGAAGGCAAGCACTGAGATTGTTAAAATCTGACTAGATTATAGTTTAAATTATAAAATATATTATTAACGTTGTTTAAGAGATTCACAAATGAAACTATCACTGTACAGCTGAAAAGGCTTCCAAGGGATGGTAAAAATTCAATCATTGATTACTGTTCACAGATTCAGGCCAGTACAACCATACATTATTTATTGTGGTTCAAAACCAGAATATATAGAATACAATTACATGCTCATGGATTTCAACAGAACTGCTATAAATGTTATGTATTGGATCTTTTATCCTACATGGAAAAGATGAACAAAGTTTTCCCAAATCATTGAATCACTACAGGAATAAAACCACAGAGTATATCAAGCACAGGGCTCCTGCCAGATGCATAAATTAGAGCTAATACATTTCAAATATTTTTTAATTAAGCTGGATTGAATACAAAAGTGAATGACTAATTTGAAAGAAGTATATTAAGGTAGTCTGATCATAGAGAGAATGAATAAGTACATTATAAAACAATTCAGTGAAGGAAGAATGAGAGGGGAGGAAAGACAGAGAAGATCCGGCTGGATCCAGTTGATGAGATCCTCAAAAGGAGAGAGCTGACAAAATTTACAAATAAAGGGCAATGTATCATATGGTGGAAGCAAGTATGGTTTGCAAGGCTAGAAAAATATGGAGAGGTGCTCCCGTAAACTAGATTTAGTTATTTTCTTTTATCTCCTTCCTTTTGGTTACTACTTCCTATTATTTTTCTGTTTTTTGCATATTAGTATTTAATCTAAAAGGGAATAATATTAATAGATATGCATGCATAGATACATCTATTATTTTTACAGATATGTGCCTTTATGAATTAACACAAGGAAATCAGAAATGTATCTTGACTCTGAAATGTTATACAACAGTTATAAAATCATTTTAACATTTAAAAACTTCATGCCTCTCTATAAGATAGTATTATGCTATAATCTCAATTAAATACAAAAATGAATGCAGAAAAAGCAGAATAAAAGAATATGTTCGGCCTAGCATTTTGGGTGTATAATATATGATCGTATTTTGAATTTTGTCGTGTTTTGTTTTTTATTACCTTTATTTGAATTAACTGAAAGTGAAAAAGGCTTATTCAGGCAATGAGTGGAAATACAAATAGGCTGAGCAGATGCCTTTTCAGAACATCATTAGGTTTGGAGATTTCCTGAATACAGATCCCTACTCTCTTTTTCCCACTATGGGTGCAGTCAATTCTGGATAGGGTTAATATCACCTTCTCATTCACTCTTGGCCAGCTTGGCCAAGTATCCATATATTTGAGTCTTGGCTTACTAAACCTGTCTGGATCTTTAAGTTTTTAAATGTTAATGTGCATCTCAGTTTTTGTCCCTTACAGGGAACTTACTTAATCTTGGCATGGTACACTCTTTTGCTCATGACCTTGGTTGTCACTGGGCCTTCTCTTTCTTTTTTGGCTGCCTTCAAGTTGGAAGGCACTTGAAATGCTATTGCCAATCTCAAACCAAGTTCCAAGTGGCATCGCTGCCGCTTACTGAGGCTCTTGTCCAGCTGCTAGACCTTTAGAACTCAATCAGCTATCTTACTTGTGCTGGTTGTAGTTGCTGCTGCTGCTACTGTTGCTTCAACATTGCATCTACTTCCTTCATTACTGTTATGTTTTTTCCCCCATCTTCCATTCACACCTTCCCCTCACCAAGCCCTTCTTATCCTAAGGACTTTGGACAGTTGGTCCAAACAGGCTATGGACACAGTTGCATCCTTGAAAAGAAGCAACAGACATTGGCATGGATGCAAGTAAGGTGGGGCTGTGTCCAGTGAGCCATCCTGGCTTGGGTTTTGGTGGGAGAAAAGAAGGGATACCATTTATGCTAGTAGCAGCTGCTAGGACTTGTCCAGGCAGGACTTCCCAATGTTTGTTTGGGAAAGGGCAATGGAGGGAGGAGAGAGAATCAGCTGAGCCAGTAGCAGAAGCTAGTGTGGAAGGGCCACCCTTCATCCTCTTGGTTAGACAGGCTGGTCATGCCTCCCCAATATGGATTTGGGAAGGTTGTCTGAGCCAAGCTTCAGTGGCATAGCTAATCTGAAGTCAGAAAGACTGTCTGAGGTGCCAGCAACCATGCACACTGACAAAATGAGCTGCTTATTATACCTGGTTGATAACTCAGGTTTGTGTTTGAATGCTACTGAAACTCATAAACACGATTTTAATCTCATGTTCTGCTATTCTAAAGTTTATAGCTCTACCAGGAACTTAGGCTAGGCAGGAATCCTTAAGTTCTAGAAATGAATGTGAGACAATTTTGGGGAAATGTGAACAGTAGACAGGGATCTTATCTGTGATCACCTGTGCATCATTGTATTTTCTTTTCTTGAATAACTTATTTCTCATTAACAATTTAAAAACTCACACTTTTAATAAAAGCTCTTTGGAGACAGCTTTATCCTTTAAGTATCACCTGAATATCACTGACATTTTCTTTTTTATAACAAAATCACATGTGAATTTTAGAAAAGATGGGTACATCAACTGGAAAATGTCTTGGCACTGGTCTTACAAATCTACTGCAAACCTTTTCTGCTCTTACACTGACATTTTCTTACATTTAACATAATTCAGCTGTCATTTCATTTTCTTATTTAAAGGTGCTCTTTAAATGTCCTATACTACATCCTTTTATCTCTATTTTTTCCCTTAAACATCTTTCTCATTGAATATCAAAATAGATCACAGACTAGTACAGGTTATATCAATGATTTTAGAATGAGAAAG